CCAGCAGCTCCAGCTCGGGCCAGCCAGGAGCCACCACGACGGGGAGACCGAGGGATGGGCGTCCTGCCTTACCAGCCAAGCGCAGCTGCCACAGGGACCCGCCTCACTTGAGCAGAAGCTTGGCCCTGCTGAAGACGTGCCAGATCGCTCAGCGGCATTTCCCAGTCTGCCCCAGTTACTGCCCGCGCTGACGACCCACCTGAGCAGTCACAGCACACGCTCCCCCGCAGCCGCCCCGCGCTCGCAAGGCGCTCGCGGATTTTGCTTGTTCTCAGAATGAAGCCCTACTGAATTCTCCGTTTCAAATGTTTTATTGAAAGCCAAATCCTTGACTCTACGTTGTTAAGAAAATTTAACAAAATGGAATCACACGCCAAGTATTCGGACCGAGGGAAAATAAACACGAAAGAAACCAACCCAACCAAGCTCGCTTTGTTTTCTTGCAGGTGCTTGGAAGGAAAGAGATCTCGAGGGGTCTCTCGACCTACGAAAACCCACCGTAAGACCACTTGTTCCAAAATTCCAGTGATGAAAATTAAGGAACAAATGAGTTTTGTTTTATTTACAGACTGAGTGAAGAAAATTTGTATTTGTAGAGGGGTTTCTTGTGACAACAAAATCCAAGTGGCCTTTGATAAGCTGTGTTCGAAGGTTCGGTTCTTCATCACCCCAACGCACAGACGGTGTCGGCACGTCTCTTGCTGGGTGCACTTAGTGTTCAAGAAACCAAGGGGCTGGCGCCTCTGACGCTGAATGAATGGCCCGGCGCCCCTCGACCCTTGCAGCCGTGCTCCACGCTGACCTGCGCCTCGTCTCCCACAGGGCAGAGGGACACCAGCCAGGCACTGGTCTTGCAATGTCAGCTGAAGGTCAGACCACACACTTCGAGCTTCAAACAGCATTGGAACCCATCTCTTCAGGGAACAACAGCCTGACTGAGCCCAGAAGCTGGGTCGGAGACAGTCCCTTGTATTCGCAATTAAAAAAACCAAACCCCCGAGAGCAGAACAAGCCGCGTCTCTGAACAACAGAGGATCTGCTGTCACACAAAAAACGCATCGCTTGTAACATGGCACTGAGCTGCACATGAGTGGAGTCCCCGAACTCTTCCTACGGGTACTCTTGGTGCCACCCTGCCCCTGTCAGCAGGGCACCGTGCGGAGATCTCCGTTCTCACCCGCTCTGTTCTCCTCCCCAAACACCACCCAGGCCTTGCTGCGACACGGCTGTCACGGCACAGCGTGCGGTGAGTGGGCTTGCAGGCCTTTCTTCTGGGTGAAAGATGGTATTGTGACTTCATTAAGTTTTACAATATTAGCAAAGAAGAGAATGATAATGGAGTTTCATAACATTTCACGGTAAAATTACAACTGTTTTGAAAATACATTGTCCCAAAAACATCCTCAGTAGTAAGGTCGTCGTGGATTGTTCTGTGGGGAATAACAAGAGAAAATTAATAAAAATTGCTGTCTTCATGGAACAATGAGCATCTGAGCTTCATTATCTGAAAAAAACACCGAAACGTGACATTTCTGACAGCAAAACCTGAGGTTTGCCCATCAAAAATTACAGCTGTAGCTCTCTAAGTGTGCTGGCACACTGAACGCAAGAGGCAAATGCAAACTTACAAGCCTTTGGCAACCAGCAAAACAGTTATTCAAAGAAACCATGGATTCGTGGACAACTCGCCCGCTTCCTTTGCATGCAGAGTTTGTAGTTCACAGAATCACAGAATGGTAGGGGTTGGAAGGGACCTCTGTGGGTCATCTAGTCCAACCCTCCTGCCGAAGCAGGGTCACCTACAGTAGGCTGTAGAGGACCTTGTCCAGGTGGGTCTGGAATATCTCCAGAGGAGGAGACTCCACAGCCTCCCTGGGCAGCCTGGGCCAGGGCTCCGTCACCCTCAGAGGGAAGAAGTTCTTCCTCGGGTTCAGCTGGAGCTTCCTCTGCTTCAGTTTGTGCCCGTTGCCCCTTGTCCTGTCGCTGGGCACTACTGAAAAGAGCTTGGCCCCATCCTCCTGACACCCACCTTTCAGATATTTGTAAGTCTATATTAGGTCCCCTCGCAGTTGGCATGCACCAGATAAAACCAAAATCAGGGGCTTTTGTATTAAAAAAAAAAAATCCCGGCAATGAAAATCGCGCATCCATGGATGTTTTGGTAGTGATATTTGATTCGGCATGAGAACAGAATCAAAGAGAAACTCGGACAGCGTTTGCTCCCTTGGCTAAGCACTAGAAACACTCCACCCTGACGAGGCACGGGCAGGAGCCTCAACGGGTTTGTCACTGCGTCTGCTCCGGTGTCGGGACCACCTTACCAATGGATTTGGTCGGAAGCGGTAGGCGAGCATCATTCGTTTACGGAATGCCTCGTACTCGTCATCCTCCTTGGTCAGCTCGGCGGGACGATCGATGCCAAAACCAGCTCCATCCACAGCAGTGGTCCCCCTGTTTGGAAAGAGGGAAGAAAGCCTCCGAGGTAAGCAGACGGAAGAGATCAGCTTCCCCTTCAGCGGAAATACCTGCTGCCTCTTGCCAGCAGAGCTCAGCGCCAGGGAGCAGCGGGCATCACCGCGCACGGTGCGCTGCATCGAGACAGACAGCTAACCCTGAGCAGCTGACTGCATTTGCCACGTTTCTACGTTGTGCTTCCAAATCCATGACGTTTGCTATTGTTAGATGGAAGCAGCAGTGCCAACATCTATTTGCTTAACCTTCCACAGCTGGAACAGCAACACCGTGGGGCTGTGGACGCCTCCCTGCTGAAGGGTGCTCTGACCGGTAGACTGACCTTTGGCAACCAAACGCTGATCTGTACCTACACAGAACTGTCGGACAACGTGCCTGCCTCTCATTCCTTCACTCCAGAACGGTCCAACAGCGGAAGCAATTCCTTTCCATCTGCAGTAGCACCTTCCATTCTAAGAACATCAGAGGTGGTAGGGCCCAAGCAAATCGCAACCCTTGTTCGACCCTGTGAGGACACAAACTGCCTTCCTTCTGCTGTTTGCAAGCCTTGCTGTTCCGATCACAGCGACCTCTTGTCACCGGACTTCTCTGAACCAATAAACACACTGTCAGAAAGATCTTCTTGCAAAAGAGGAGCACAAGTGCTTTGTAGAGATACTTCCTATCGTGCAGTAAACAAACAACTGTTATTTCTAAAGGGATCTAACGCTATAAAACAATTCAGAGTGCTTCCTACCCCCAATATTTGGTTCTGAAGTTCAGCATCTGTTACCAACAGATGATCCACCTAAAAAGAGATGCTCATCTATTTTGGGATAGAACTCTCGCAAAGCTTTATTATACAGAAAGCACGATCAAATCAGAAAACTGCGCAACAGAGTGACGTCAAGACAGCTGCATGATCACACACAAAGCTCTCTGCTCTGGACTGAAGCATCCTTCAAACACAGGCCCAGCAGTAGCAAACACTGGTAACTGCCTTTCACCCACAGGACACCCGGGACTCGCTAGCAGGCACCAGCGGCGCTTTGGATGCAAAAGGCATGATCCTTAATACTTCAAGAAATTTATGACTGTAAAGACAAGACACACGTCCCGGTAGAGGTGAGGTGCAGACAAGTATTACCTTCATTTTATAGACGGGGAAGCTGGGGAGAAGGCACCTCCCTGAAGAAGGTACTTGGCAAACTGAGATTAGAAACCAAATACTGCTGGGTCAGCTCACACCTCCTGCCTGAGATAAGCTAACAAACCTAGGCCTCGGGGGGAGAGAACCCCAAAGAAATCAGAACGGATTTTTCTCCTTTGCTGCGAGGATTCCACATTCTGTTCAAGTGATAAATTACAGTCGTGTTCATTGCAGCTGCTTCCAGTGGGCCAGGGTAGGAGCATCAATTATCAGCCCAAGAGGAAAGGACTAAATCAATAAGTAGAAGAACTCTGCTTACTTGCTGACTGGGTTTTTAATCCCCTGTCCATCTGAGCCAAGTCCCTCGCCCTCCTTCCAGCCCATCTTCATCAGCATTTGATAACCTATGTTTTCCACAGTCAGTTTGAACTCTTTGTATTCAGAATAATCTGGCTCACGTCCTTCCTGCAGAGACACAAAAGGCAGTGTTGGTTATTTTCTCACATGCACCTGTGGTCAGAGGAAGGGAAAATCAGCTTCCACTACCCAAAGTTAGGATGGTTCTGGCAAACAATAACTAGTGTGATTTCTTGGGATTCCAGTTCTGCACCACCACGGAGAAGAGAACAGGCAAACGATGAAGTGCTGCACAGCCCTATAAGACCATCTGCAAGAAGCAGGGAATGGTACTCGGAGATCACGCCGAGAAATATTGCGCTCCAGTTGCTCACTGGATCAAGCTTCACATACAGTTCTTAAGCTAAGCCAGGATCTCCAGGGAACGTCAGACCCCATGCTGGTTACACAAAAACATTACGAGGGATGCACCAGCATCAAGACGTTCTGCGGTTTAGGAAGAACTGGCAGGTACTGAGGTGCTTTGCATAAGCTTTTTGTAGGCTTTATATTGTCACTTTACTGCAGTCATCTGGATAAAAATTCATGTTTTCCTCGCTTGGCATCAGCAACCACTTACCCGAATGAGGAACAGCAGACAAATGGTGGGCAGTCTGAGAGGCTTGTCTATCACTCAGCTAACCCTCAAATACTGTCCCAGTAGTCTGTTCCCTAATTTGCTACAGACCTTTCTCTGCAAAGAGCAAAAAACCCCTCATTTCCTCCAGAAGAAACCAAGCTCCCAGTGCAAGGGCAGAAGTGCCTCAAGGCTTCAAGGTAGCTAACTGCTGTGGGAAAGAGCTAAGCAAGCTCATCTTTCCCTCGCTGCTATGGGACAAGCCCGAAGCATCGCCACCGCCCCGCAAAGTCTCTGCTGTTTCACCTTCAACGCCTTGAACGTCTCCATGAATTTCTCCAGCTCGTCGGGAGGAAGAAAGTCTCCGATGAAATGTTTCCCTCTGCCCATCTGGGTCAGCTGCTCAGCCCACTCTGCCCAAGACATGGAGGAGAGAAAACAGCACTAACGCAGCGTTCTTTGAGATGGGATTTCACGGGGGTTGTGAAGCACAAAGCCTCACAGCAGCAGACGGTTATTATCTCCACTCAACGGGCAGGGAAGCCACCGCACAGAGCAGTGAAAAGCGACCCCTGCAACTCCCA